CTCATTCAACACCCCCACACATTGGCTTTATCCCTTTCATGCACAGTGGACTGATTCCTCTCTTTCAAATCCAGCTGCCTCAATACTTTCCAACTGTTGGCCTGGATTGCCTCTTGGGGAAGGGTTGGCCCAGCCAGGCCTTCTTCCTTTGACTGGCCACACTGCATGCCAAAGGGCTCAGGGGCAGGGGTGGTAGGCAACTCCACTAAAATGTAGCAACCTTTGGAATGTACAAATGTTTTATAACACAAATACCACACAGGTTTGTCTTTTTAAGATAACAATGACCAACCAGAACCTAACAAAAGAATTTAACTTCTGAGAAGTCAGAAAAAGTGGGCAGTTGGGGTTTGGCTAGCTACACCCATGAAATTGCAGTTCTACCCCTCTAAGTATATTCCAAAGGCCAGGTAAGTAATGACTGAGTGAGGCTCTAGTAGATTCAGGATGGTCCTACACAGCATTAATTAAACTGGCCAGTTTACTTTGCAAACGAACAGCATACATTCAAGAGTAACTCTGCTAAGCAATGCACAGAGATTTCATCCTGAACCCCAAAACAGTCTTTGCCAGTTTGGAAATGGGTCTTCTGAACTGCTGGGTTTAAAAGCCCATTTACTTTACAATCTAAATTAGAAATTATGTTGCATTTTTAAAAGGAAAGAAAGCATAGCAACTTAAAGACTAATTATAGCAACTTAAAGACTAATTACATTTATTTTAAGAATCTTTCATAGTCGCCATTGCCATTTACAATCTAAATTAGAAATTATGTTGCATTTTTAAAAGGAAAGAAAGCATAGCAACTTAAAGACTAATTATAGCAACTTAAAGACTAATTACATTTATTTTAAGAATCTGAGCTTTCATAGTCTTCTACTACAGTCCTTTTTTTTTAAATCCTGAAAAATGATTTAGGATGTTGTGACTGCAGTATCTTCATAATAAATATCCTCCTTATTTCAAGAGTCCAGTGTGTTTTTTCATTTCAGTCCGTTCTTGTTAACACGTTCCGTTTCATGAGGCTGAACAACCTCATAAAGTAAACCCGACCTATCTTCCATACGTATCTTCAAGTTTTTAGACCTGTGATTTACTCTTTAACTTATCATGGGATTAAAATGGGACTCATTTTCCCCTAGTTTGGAGAGCCAATGTGATGAGATGAAAAGGACCTTAGCAGTTTTACGAAACAGGGAGTGTTAGCAGGTTCCGCTCAGGAAACAGGGTTTAACCATTATTAATTCATGAGCACTCTCCTCCTTTGCATTGAGTTTCTCTGGGTGTCAGAATTAGTTTTCAAATACTATTGGCAACACTACTACAACCAACCCATCATAAGTCATGGCTAGACCCATTAGTGAGTCTCAGCCTTTCAAAGGAAGACCAACTCTCTAAAGGACGGGTAGGAAATTTTTAGCCTTCAAATGCTGAACGACTACTCCCATCTTTCCTAACAACTGGGTAGGCTGAAAAAGGTTGATGGGCGCTAGAGCTCAACAACATCTGGAGGATGAGTCCTGATCTGACTGATGGGACTGCATCACTCCACACTGCAGCGTTGTACTAAAGAGTAGAGAGAATGTTCCCTACTACTCGTCTCACCCAGATTCATGGATTAATTGCATGGGATGGATTCTTGCCATGCAATGGTTCTTTCCTGCCTCAAAAATCAGAATGTGGGTGATTCTGATACGTGCAATTTATAACACATCCTTATTCTTGCTAGCTTATCCTTTGCCAAGTCTTGGTAAAGAGTTGTTTCAGTATCTTGTGTATCTAAACTCGTGTGTTTAACAGCAATGTCCTCGTGTTAGTAACCAAAGTCAGCCACAAACCAGTAAGTTACAGTGTAGTGAACCTAACTAGGAAAGAATGATAAAGGCATTTGTTTTATGGAAAGACAGATGTGTCCATGGTTTATTTTCTTGAAATGGTATTAGCAAAAGTATTCTTCAAGAGAATTTCATGTATTAGCACTAGGTGGCTTTTTGAGGTCCCTTCCAGCTCCGTCATACATAAGCCCTCAGGCTCGTGAGGCATGTGGTCCCCAAACCTCCTCCCCCAGAACTGGCAACATAAGGTTCATCCCACAGCAACTTCTACTCTCGTTCAAGCTCTGAAGGATGCAGAGAAGCCCCTTCATAGCTTCCCATTCAATACAGGAAAGTATTGAACAAGCAGGATGGGGATGTTGAAGAGGATGATGATATATGGCACATACAGCCCCATGTATCTTAGACTCCATGCTCATTCCTTTTCAAGGCTCTAATGACTTGTAATTTGGAGTGAATGAGCATCCCCATTATCCCATCTTCACAAGGCTTGGTGAAATGTTCTGAATCGCCTCCTCTTTTTCTGATGATTTTAAGGTTGTAATCCTATGTCCAGTCTTGACAGATAAAGACACTTCACAAAGGCACTGAGAAGGTCCAGATTCTTGTGCCCGCCCCCTTCCCATGCCCCTCAGTAAGACAATGGGCGAGCCTTGGAGCACAGGAAGATAAAGGTGGTAGCAGCATTCATAGGAAAGCCTGCTCACTTTACTCCTCCTTGCAGGCATTCCAAACAGGGATACTCACAGTTGTGAGCGCTCCTATTTTATTGCTGACTTCATTCCCACCAGTTATACCACTAGCATAGACAGTGCATTGTTGCACAACCTAGGACTTTGGTGTAATCCAGTGAACAGCATCCAGGGGTTGTCTAGGCAGGACCCTGGCTCAGCCAGCCTTCTCCCTATTCTATGCAGAAGGCCTCAAGGAACAATACTACAGAGGCAACACTTTTAAGGTGCTTAACTTGGCATACAGTCTGGGTCAAATGCTGCTGGTATCACATATGACTTTTCAGATCAAAGCAGCAGGTCCACAGTTATTTGCTGTCCTCTCATGATTTAGTTGATTCCAGTGCTGTCCATCCAGCATCAGGCTCCTGGTATATCAAGTGAAGGAATGATTCTCTTTCTCATCTGTGTCTTCAATCTTTCCCCCTTAAGTCCACCATGAATAAAGGGACTGAGGACAGGAAGTTAATCCACCTGTCCCACAGCAGTTTGGAAGGAGGCTTTCTCAAGAGATCAAAGCTGGTGAGTATCACAACAAAGGCACAGCAGGTAAACAGAATCCCAGTCTACTGATAACTTGTGATCCAGGTTTTGCAGGTTGCTTCTGGAATCACTTCATTTTCCAGCACCGATACCAAAGAAGAGAATCAACAAGTCCACATTCAGTTGCAGCTGGAAATTGCCTTCTGTGGGTTGTCAGGTAAATTCACCCTCAGCTCTTTTGCTTTCTCTGTGTTGAGTTGACGGTCTGACTCCTTTGACCCATTCAGGAGTGTTTGGTTGTTTGGGGCTCCCTCATGTTGAAACGCTGGAAAAGAGAGCAGGGAAATTGTATCAGTTAGACTGGTGAAAACTGAAAAAGGAATTTATTATGGGAACCTCTCAATGCTGTGTAAAGGAAATAATGCTGAGGGAAAGCAAATGCCCAACTCTCTCATGGTTGGGGCAATATGTGCTCTAACCACTGTGTACCATGATAAGTGCTTTTGAAATAGCAACATTAGTAACAGAGTTAATGAATACCGACCCTACAGAGCTTTCTTATTCCAACTGCAATTACCTCTAAAAACATATCTCTTCAAGTGCATTGATAATGAATAGACAATGTAATTTCGTCCGTAATTGTAAAACACCTCAGCTAGGAAATTTTTTTCTTGACAGAACACTGCCCGTTCAGTGGTTCATAATTACATTTTTAATTACTTATAGGCATGTTTAATTTCTCTTCCCCCCCCCCCAATTTAGCAGAAGAACATATTTGTGTCAGAAAGAGAAGGCTGTCCTCTGAAGATGCCGGCCACAAAGACTGGTGAAACATTAGGAAGAACAACCTTCAGAACACTGCCAAAGAGCCCGAAAAACCCACAACAACAATTAGATCCCGGCTGTGAAAGCCTTCGCGAATATAAAGAAGAAGTATTGTTGAAGCTGCTCTGCTAAATGCCATCCTTTGACAGAATCTGGATAATTTACTGTTTTGGACTACAACTCCAAGAATCCCCCAGCCAGCATGGTCTCTGGAGGAATCTGAGAGCTACAGCCCCGAGCAAACACCTTTTCAAGAGCTTAGTATCAGAAAGATTGGAACAACTGCTGCTAGCAGATAATCATCTTGACCTTCTGTGCAAAAGGCTATCCAAGAACAAAAAGGGGGTCGTGGACTAAGCCACTGGGCTGGATAGAGTATCGTGGATTGTCTCCCACTGTTACTTATGTAGGACTGTGAGCCACCCTGAGCTGTACAATTTTCTGCCCAAGCCCATCCTTCCACCAAACTCTTGCTAGATAGAGCCAGCTATCACCAACTTGCTGGTCTGAGCACGCACTGAACAATAGCCTCACATTCACTGACTAACGAGGATTTGTAGCATAACAAGTTGGAGCAGGATAACAGAAACAGAGCAAGAACACCTGCAAGGGATGGGAAGAATCACCCAATCTGGATGGCAAAAGCCAGAAACAATATTTTCTTACAGCAGATGGAGGACAATAGCTAAGATGCACAGGGCCAGACTAGACATGATGGCAGTGATGCCTGGAGTTTAAACACATAATGGTGTCAATTCCACAGAGGGAAAAGTAGGTTTTAAAAACAAAAGAAATACGAAGGTGAAGAGTGAAGGCCACACACCCCACGCCCACATGCAATTTGCCTCCCCACACCCCTTCACCATTCACTTTAGGCAAAGTGAGGCAACCACCTCCAGTGGCAGATGCTCTGATGCGCCAGCGATAGCACCCGCCTCCCCCCGCAGCTGTTCATCTTGAGTCCCATGGCCATTTCCCTCCCTTGGTATACAGAGCTATGTGTGCCACAAAGCTTATTTTGCAATTCAAAACTGGCTCACAGGCAGGATGGAGGGTCCTGCCCTACCTGGGCTGTTTCAAACATTCAACCACCAGGCTTCATTTTATGGAATGGGTGGGGCTCTGTGGCATCTCGTTCTTAACCTTCAGTAACAAAATGTATCTGGCAGACTCTGCCCCCTGTCCACCATTTTTTTCTCCCGGTTAATGAAAAGTCCAAAATTGGAACTCAGTTGAGAGTATAGATCAGGGAAAGAAGCTGAGAGGTAGACGGGGGCCCTCTGCTTGTTTGAATTCCCATTTCTAGTTGGTTGATTGGGACAATTCTATCTTCAAAAAATAAAGAACTCTTGTCATCAAATCGAGTTTGACTTTAAGTGATCCAACAGGCTAGCAAACAATGTCTGAACAGACATGGATTGAATTAAATAAATAAACTATGCTGGGAAATAAAACACTGCAGTTAATGGTAACATTTGGAAATGTTATCTTTAAATAGGGCAGGTTATCTTTAAAAAGGATAGGCCTAATGTAATGATCATTCTCCAGATTTCTCTTGGCCACTTATGCATGCAGCAGTGAAACCATGGAAGTTAGGACAGCAAGCTGCTAATTAATGTGGTGCTGGTTGCATTCCTAGTTGAGCCCCCAATCAAGTGAAGGGAATGCAGTCAGGAGCACAACCAATATCACACAAATTAACTGCAACTCACCACTGCAACTTTTATAGTTTCACTGATAAATCATCAACAAGACTCTGGCTATCAATAATCTGAAATAGAACAATATTGAATTAAATGAAGATGCAGGAAGTATCCCGTCAGTTATTTCTTGTCAGTAGGTTTCATTTCTGAAGTCAAAGGATTAGAGCATCTATTAAAGGGGCAAGACAACAATGATCTTGTCGGAATACAATGCTCTTTGGCCCAGGCCAGCATCATCAATAGTGAAGATGGCAGGGACATGCAAGGCCAACAGCATTTGGAGGGCCATCTTTTGCCCAGCTGCCCAGCCCTCTTTAAGAACATTTTGAGCTTAATCCCAAACCTAAAAAGGAGCATTAGTGTTCATTAGTGAAGATTAAGAAGCCTCCCATCTTCTGCATCTATCTGGAGGTGGTGTGAGACTGGGGAATTATGGGAACTGTAATCCAAAAATACAAATCTGCACATCACTAGCAGCAGTTGGTCGCTACTTCAAGAAGAGGCCTTTTCCACTCCAGATTTATTTGGTTTGCCGCACTAGGGACCGAATCGAGACTCAGGGCAAAATGCGGGTCCTCTCCACGCGACTAGGCTAGGCGCCGCCCTAGTCCGGCACTTTATTTCATCTCCGCCGACACTGGCGAGAGAAGGGTGCTTTCTCCGGACAGGTGCGCCCGGCCGCCCTCCTCCCGCCCGCCGGCCCCTCTCGGCGCGCTTACCGGCCCGGCAGCTCTGCCTGGCGCGCACGATCTGCACCGCCTGCTGGTTCTTGAAGCGCACCAGGGCCAGGGTGATGTCGGCGTTCCAGCTGGGCTCCTCCTGCGGGCAGCGGAAGTCGATCTCGGCGCCGCCGTCCGTCACCACCGTGAAGTAGATGTGCCGCTGCTTCCACTCCACGCACTCGACGGCTTTGACGTGGGCGAAGGCGATCTCCTTGCAGCGCGTCGAGCCCCGGCGG